ATTCAGAGAGAATTCGCGATGAAAGCATGAGAGATGCTAAGTCTTATTATTGTTGTTGTTTGGTAAGTTGCAATCGACATCATGATAATATTGTTGTATCAGCGGATGAACTTGTTGTGATATTTCGACAAACAGATTCCTGTGTCATTGACTATTTACTATCTCTGGTATGGCAGTATTTCATCATTCATAAGGACGTCTATATTACAACCGAGAAAGTTCATTTTTGAGGCGAGCTGAACTGACAGACACTTCCTCGGGTAGAATATTGTTACTTGACTGACAGTAATGCCTCTTCTGTTGTGTTTGTCCATTTTTTGTACTTACGTTATTTTTAATCATGCCTCTTTTGGGTATCATCTACATCATTTTAAATGTTTATTAAACCACTATTATGAAGTTGTTGGCTTTTGCCATCTTTTGAACTATTGGACTTGTGAGGGTGTCACTGTGATTCTATCAATCACACGGACAATGAAGTAGTTGAATCTCTAAATCTAACAAAACGTTTTGTTTCACTTATGGATGAGTGGGTGTTCTTCTAAGCTTGATTTATTACTGAAAGGTATTTGGGGTCTATTCGAATAGAGAGAATCAAAGCAGTGTGATACATTATGACCATATGCTTTCGATCCTCCTGCACTGTTCTGACTTCGGGCTAATAGCTTTCGAGCTCAGTTGAACTTATTGTTTAGTCAAAGCTCCTTATTCGATGCTTTTATATAAGCAAAATCTAATAGAGCGGCATCGTTTTTCAGGTAAGGGGACGTTGCGCTGGATGTTTTCCAGATAAAGTTTTAGATAGACACTTCAGACGGTCTTGAAAACTTCTGAAGTTAGGCTACGAAATTTTCTAGAAACAAACCACAAGAAGGAGCATGCTCTATTGGATACTGACTGCTAATGGGAAGAGACGCATGGAGTTTTTTCGGTAGTGAGAAATGTGAAACTTGAATCTCTTAAGAATCGTGTAAAGTATGGAATGTCTGTGATATTCACCACTAATGTTCTTCATTTAGAAGTTTCGAGCAAAAGAAACATTTCGGCAGTAAGGTCTAGTTATCTTGAATGGTCGAGACGTGGAAGGGTCAGCTGGACCAGCTGATTCCTGAAGGTCATACACTTAAAGGAGAGTTTGAGGGAATCATTATTGTTCCTTATGTAGAGAAGTAGTCCAGGGATCGAGCATTGTTTCACTTCGTTTGTTAGCGAAAACCGATACCTCAGAGTCGTCCGAAATCCAATGACTCGCAATCACTTGTTTGATTATTATTTAGGATCACGTCATCTGAACCCATCTATACTGATTGGATTTGGATTCTGGGGCAGGGTACAGTGATCTACACTTGGAGATGTCTATCTAGCTGATATGCATTGGACAATTGTGTCCAATGAGGTGTCTCAGGCACTTAAGGCGCATGTGTCATGGATATCAGAGAAAACTAACGTAATGAAGAGATAGCTAAAAAGGTTGGTTACTATATGAACCAACAGATTTCTGTAGACCAGAAGGCCTTGGAGTCTCCTTGACTTCCAAAAGTCCAAATTTCTTTAAACCTGGACCAGTATGAGAAGGTGTGAGGCAGAGGTCATTGGAAAAAGTTGAAAGAAAAAAAAGGACAGTGGTATTTTTCCTCGTCGAGTAAATTTCTTTGTTTTGATCGTTTGTTACGTATCAAGACTACTGTTTTCGCTTTAATTGAATTTATTTCAGTTAAAGTATTCGACTAGAGTATCGTTTTTACTGTTCTCTCAATTAGTTTTGTCGTTGGTACTCTTGAGTACCTCTTTTTCAACTGTATCTGTTAGTACTTTTAGTCCTAGCAATCTACAGCTCTTCACTTTTTTGGTCATTGATTATTTTTTTGTTTCTGAGTATCATCGCATCTTGAAAAAGAACCCCTTCTAAATGACCGGACAGTGTAAAAAAAGCAGTTGCCAACGTCCATGTTGTCGTTATCCTGTTGAAAGCGGCATGTAGTGCGACGAGTGCAAAGGCTGGTACCATGAAGTATGCAAAAACTTAACGCCTGCTGCTTTCAAACTGTTCAGTAAGAAGGGTTGTGTATGGCTTTGTCAGCAGTGCTGCTCGGATGCAAACAGCTTGTTAACCGAGGCCATCTCACTGGTTGATGCTGCAAAGAAGTGTTTTAGTAAGCATAGTCGGAACGCGTCAAACAGCACTCGATCTGTTGACACGCAAATCAACGTGAAGGAAACTAAGGTTAGTCCGATGATAGATGACTCACGCCCGTCAAAGAAGGAAAAGCAGTCTCAAAAGAGGCTCAAGAAAAGTAGGGTCTTCGGTTCCCCGTCCCCCAGATGGGGTCCAACAGGAAACACCTAGAAGCCGCAATCGCAAGACTCAATCGGTTTCAAGCGGTAAACATAACCTGACCTCTCAGGTCTTCGAAAACCCCTCAAAATCCAACGTTAGGTTTGACGCAACTGTTATTGCTTCTACCCGCACCGTTGACGAATGGGTACAGGTTGTAAGGAAGAGAAGTAGGAATATAAAAGGGAACCCTGCCCCCGTAGAAGTAGTTGAAAAATCGAAAGCTGATCATAGCGACAGATCAGCTACTTTTCATAGAATCAAGGAGAGCGAGAGCTCTGAACCTAAAGCTCGTTTTGAGCAGGACATTGTACTGATTAGGCAGCTGCTTAATCAATTCATGCCTCAAAATATGACTGGGGTCACCTTGCTAAATGTGTACAGACTAGGGAGTCTAGTGGACTCGAAACCAAATCATTCCAGACTGCTTAAAGTAGTATTCAGCTCTTCGAACGAACGTGACCTAATTTTACAGAATGGACACAAATTAAAGGGTTCAAGAGTCTTTTTTCGAATGGACCTACCGTTGGCAGACCGTGTTAAAGGACGGGAAGCCGAGAAAGAACTACAACATACGTTAGACGCTGGCGAAAAGGACCTGAAAATTGTAAATTTTCGGGTTTTAAGACTTCGACAGAGAATGATGCCGAAGCTTACTTAATAAGCGATCGGAACTAGGTGTACAGATTGACTCTACAAAGCCAGACATAATCGCAGTAACAGAAACCTGGCTGACACAGGCTATAGATAGTATAGAACTTGATTTCGAGGGTTTTACGTTAGTAAGAGCCGACAGAACACAAAAGTGCAAAGGAGGGGGGGTAGCTCTATTCATTAGGAATGCTATCCCATTTACCATTATCGATAGTGTATCCCATGAGAGTGGGACGTGTGAATTAGTTAGTCTTCGCTTGAAATGCAAGGGACAAGAGCAGCTGATTGGTTTGGTTTATCGCAGTCCAAGCTGTGTGGCAAATGAGATCCTGTTAAGCAGTTGTCTAATCCTAGGGGAGGCAATTTATTGATGTGGATAAAAGACTTCTTAGTTGGGCGTCAACAAAGAGTTCGGGTGAACTCAAAGTTATCTAGCTGGGAAACTGTGCTTAGTGGAGTGCCCCAGGGTACAGTTTTGGGGCCAGTGCTATTCCTCTTGTATGTAAATGACCTTCCTCGTCTCATATCATCATCGGCCTTGGTATATGCCAACGATGTCAAGATATGGAGAACGATACGATGTAAGAGTGATAGCTTAGAACTTCAAAATGACCTGAAGAAGTTATCTGAATGGTCTCAAACCTGGCAGTTGCCGATAAATACTTCCAAGTATGTTGTGATGCATATCGATCATCAAGGCACAGATACATACACGATGAATAACACTGAGCTACCTGTCGTCCAGACATATAATGACTTAGGAGTTATCGTTAGTCAAGACTTAAAGACTACTGCACACTGCCGTGCAATAGCCGCCAAAAGTTTTAGAACGTTATGGTCAATACGTAGAGCTTTTAGTCATGTCGACGCTAAGACGTTTTTGACTTTGTATACAGTGTTCGTTCGTCCTAAACTTGAGTACTGAATACAAGCGGCTAGCCCCTGCTTAAAAAAGACAGTGAGCTTCTGGACAAGGTTCAGAGAACGGCGACTAAGCTGATTCCCGGAATAGCGAAGCTTCCGTATGAAGTTCGACTGGCCAAGCTGAACCTTTTCCCGTTGTCATATCGCAGAACTAGAGGCGACTTGATTACAGTCTACAAATTGCTTAGTGATAAATTTGCACCTAATATGCCCTCATTTTCCCTGTCTTCCAAAACAGAGAATTTACGAGGACACTCCAAAAAAGTTCATAAGCCGAGAACAAATTACTTGTCAGCTGACTATCGACTTTCCTATCGAATCATCAACGAGTGGAATTCACTACTCCAGCACGTGGTTGAGGCTCCATCCGTCGACTCTTTCAAAAGAAAGTTGGATCAACTGAGAGACCACCATTGCCAGGACTAACATAGGCCATCAAGCCTCCTGTCCTTTCCAAACTGAAACTGAAACCACTCGTTTACCTCGTTAGTCTCGTCAGTTCGGTCGCAACGTCTGCTTTGACAGTGCCATAATCGGTTTGTGCAAGTTTTTGTACTGAGTTCTCTGATCAGATGGATCTGCTATTGAGAAACAAAATGAACTAGGGGCATGACTATAATGTCTTGAGAACTAGAAGATTGGTGAGTGAATATAGTGTACAAAGCTAAAATGCTGGCGCGTTTTTAGATGTTAAATGTTTTTGTGATTATCCGTGAGTTCGTGAGGCATCCGGTATTTTACGTTAATTTAGTGGTTAAATAAATTATATTAAACGTAGATGAGGCAAATTACGTAACATCTTATCACATCTCTACATGCAAAGTTTATTGACTCAATTATTTTAAGACATTTCATTCAATTGATCAACTCAAAGAACCAATATAGGAAAATAAAGGCAAAAAAGGGGAAAATGCGTTGGAAAATAGAGGGGAAATAATGGTGGAACGCGCCAAAATGTCTGCTTTTCTTCCTATCCGGCGGAAATAATGTGGGTTTTCCCCTTTTGTCGCTGTCTTTCAAATGTTGATGAATTGTCTATTTTTCGCCTAAATACGCGCCGAATCGTCTACTTTTTGCCTAAATATACGCCGGATTGCCTGATTTTCGCCCAAATACGCACCGGTTTCTCTAGTTTTGCTTGCACTTTGGAAACACCTTCGGCATAACCCCAAACGTCTCCTGTGTTCGCACTTATTCCAATAACACACCACACGGAAACTGCAATCCACGTGATAGATAGTTCAAAGAAATGTACGTTTCTTTAAACGTTTAAGGAGATTTGTTGAAAAGAAAAGCGTATTGTTGTATAACATGATGAGTAGTTGGCAGATGCTAGAGCATCAATCGTTATGTATTTTAATTGTAATTGCCAAGTCTTACTGTAATTTGAAAAGATCTACAAAAGAAAGAACAATGGATGTATTATCAACAAGGCACGTGTACTTAATTTCAAGTGCATTTAAAATCAAACAAGCAAATTTGCTTGAACAGATATCGATATCTGTTTTGATCAGAACTTAATACGTTAAAAATGTGATACTTGTGGTACTATCTCCTTGTCTTTTTATGTATTTTGGTATTTTAAATGAGTACTCCCTAGTGTCGTAGAGAACATCTATCTTGTACTTTGTATATTACTCGTATTGCACTCTACTGCCAACGTTATTTGTTTTCTGGTCTACCTGTATAAGTGTTCATCTAGGTTCCTGATACAAAATAGTGCTGCGTTTTGAGTGCAGATGTTTGTGGAAGAAAAAAAATAGGATGTCCTGAATTTCTAGAATGGTATGGACAAGAGTGGGGAGAGTCCGCTCTCCCTCTCAAAACGCTCCCATATGGCCACGCGTATATAGCCTCTGCCAGGGAAGTCCTACTCACTGTCTTCTCGTGGCGTAAGATACAACCACTTCTATGAAGAAAGTAAGAGGTTATAGCAGGATCGCCACTGGCTTCTATTCTGAGCCATATCTGATAACGTCTCTAGCCACTGTGTAGCACCATCTCTCGGACCCCAACCAGGGAATCGTGAAGGACCGACAGAAGCCAGCCCTCCGCAGCTTTCTTTCATACAACGGCCACCTCTCGGCTTTTTCCAGCTTGTCCTAGTGTCGGCAAATAATGTACTACATGGAATTCTCTGGGACGACATTCGGAGAACATGTCCAAGCCACCGAAGTCGGTGTTTCAAGATGGTGACATCAATCGCATTATCGTCTCTGTGCCCGGACAAATATGATGAACTATCGATGATTATGGAAAATACTTGCTTCGATTAACAAATGGCGTGTGAACCGATCGTCGGTCACCGGCTACCATGGGACTGCATCTCCTGACGTTACTCCACTTCTTTGTGGCTCAGACATTCAGGTTGAAGGCTCCGGGTGTGGCCTCCTAAGAACACCACCTTCGGTTTGGGCACCCGGGCAGTATCACAGCCCTCACACATATCAAATGAGATGTGTGGCGCATATATATTTGGTGCCTCCTCGTACCATTATGTGTTAATATAAATAAGTAAATAAATAAGATTTCCTCAGTGTTATAAGATCCTGGGAAAATATTGGGAAAACCCAAAAAACTTAAGAATTTTTCCAAGACCTGGGGGGCATTTTGGCGTTTTTGTGCCATTTCCCCAAAATTGACAAAATTTTCCTCAAAATAGGGAGATCGGGCTTATGATGTATTTCCAGGCTCGTTCACAACAGATCGATATTTGTTTGACTACTTCCTACGTTTCTGTTCTCCATTCTTCTAGCTATTTGGACTGAGTTTATGAGATTCAACATTTCTTATTATATACAGGTCTTTTTGGGGCTAGATCCTGTATACCTTATTAATACTGAAACCAGAGATAATGAAACTGGTCCTACTATCTTTTTAACAGGCTGATTTCCACTTCTAATGGTTTTTATAAAGTATAGTTACCAATAAGTCATTACGTTGAAAACGTTTTGATTACTTGTAAATATGTGGCAGTGTAAATCCCATCTTGTTCCATTGTAGACCAATGAAGCGTCCCCTTAAAGTTCAGCAGCCCGCTGATAATGAGGAAGACGACTCAGAAAGCTTTAAAAAAGGTTGTTTACTAGTGTTGCTAATCAATTAACTGTACAGTTAGGCGTGTAGTCTGCAAAGGTAAAGCACCAGTCGACGTTGAATGTGTTGCTAAAGTCAATTCAGCTTATGTTTATTATGAAGGCGATGATATTTACGATGCCATGCTAAATCAGGTAATAAAAAGTAATTTTTTAACCATAAAGTGAACTATTTTAGACTAATGTTCAAAATAATAACAATAAATACTACATTATACAGCTTTTAAAAGATGAAAGTATAAACAATTACTCAGTCTGGTTTCGTTGGGGTCGAGTTGGGAAATCTGGCCAAAATAAACTTGAAAATTTTGGTAGTAATTTACAAGCTGCTAAGAGTTGTTTTGAAAAAAAGTATAATGACAAAGATTTTGCAGTTGTAAACGTATTTTAAAAAATAGGTTTCTAGACAAAACACTAAATCAGTGGGGAGAAAGAAGGAATTTCATAAAACACAATGGAAAGTATGATATGGTCGAAATTGATTATGGTGTACAAGTTGGTCTTTAGTATATTTTTGTATTCACTTCTAAGGATGAAAACGCAACTGCAAAGAAAAAGAAGGTTAAAGAAGTTAAATCACGACTTCCTGTTGCCGTGCAGGTAAATGTTTTGTTAGAAGTTATTCTATAGTAGTTACACTTTCTGTAAATCTATTACTTCCTCACAATGAAAAATATTAACTATGACTAATAAACGTACTCAGTACCATGAAAAGAAAACTTAGTTCAAACTTCTTCCTGAGAGCTAAAGGTGCTATTGGAGATTTCAATTTTAGTCTATTAGTGTAGGATGTGGACTCGTAACACTGACCGAAAAGGGTAAATTAAAGCTCTACGTTTTGAATACTTGGATTAACACTTCACTTAGCATTAAATTGACTGTTATAGTCATTTTCTCGAACCGATGAATTAAGACATCTTAGTGGTTTAGTAAGGATCAGTTTGTTAAAAGTCGCACCACTTGTTGTAGATGTATGAGTGGTAATTATGCCACAACTAATTGGTTCTCTGAAAAAACCTAGTATTTACCAAGCTTATTTCAAAAAGTGTCGGACTCATATACCATTAAATAAAAACTTCAGATAATGGGTCACACAAAATAAAAAGACCGTCATGCAGAGTTATTGATAAAACTTTATAGTGATAAGATTTAACAAATATTATAAAAATACAAGTTCAATAGATACGCGATCAGACAGACAGAAAAACTTGACACATGTTTGTGGGTCTAATTTACCTTCATATAAGGATAGACCTAATAAAGTAGCTAAAAATCATGGCTGTTAGTCGTCAATAATGGTGCAGATAGTTGTGGCAAACTAGAAGTCCGAAGAAAGGCAGTTGAAAGAGGTAAATAAAGTATTGAATAACGTTTTTTATATTTGAAGTTGGACTGGGTATCTGCATTCCTGCTATTTTGAAACATTTCATGGGTTATACCTATCCGACAGACCGTATCTAAAAGTTGTAATTTCTCCCAACACCCCCGAAAATTAGTCGGATATTTCTTGGTCTAATTGCTGCTAAATTTTCGTCAATCTACACCTATGCTACCAAGCATAGGGTTTCTTGGTTGGCGGTGGCTGGGCACATATTACATATTTCCTAATCTCAGTCGATCCAAATTCTCAACTTTAAACTGATATATCATTTTTATTTGGTAATGTATAAGTAAGCAATGGTTTGAATAAGTAGCTAGAGGTCAGATCAACCAAGCTTTCCACACATCGTTCCAATATTCTGATTTTAAAACGAGTCACCCTTCGCTTTTATCTATCTGTCAACATTTTTAACTTCCAGAACTCAGTTAAAAGTATGTTTTATTCCTCGTGAAAGTTTTCGAAAAGTGGCTGTTTTGCGACTTAAGACTCGAAACAGGATAGGACTTCCAGTTAAAAATGAGCTGCTTAACCAGATAAAGATTATAATTAAGGAAGAGGGAACTATAATCCATACAGAAATATTAGATACTAGAAATAAACCTTTTCGTAGAAAGGACCACCATTTTGAGTACTGGGTTCTATAGGGTTATTCATATTTTGTAATAATTCATGTAAAGTCTGTGTGCTGCGTCAATTCATAAATCCGTAGCAGGCGGTTTTCTTGACGATGACCGTTGACCAAATTAGGGACATATAACCTACCCTCTCTTGGATCCCATATTACCACCTCAGGATTTAATAATTTCCTTGAATAATTCATATGCTGGTCGAATCAATTTTAGTTTTAGTCGTTTGGTATCCTCATTTGTAGAGACGTCCCAGTTGAGAGGTTTCTCGAAAAGGCTACAAATGTGTGGTCCACTGTACACCGTTTATGTGGGAAGTATGCTGAAAGTACTTTGGTTAGTAATATATCCAAGGTTGTAGTGTCTTCTAAAAGTCGACCAGTGGTAAACATCATATCGGTATATTTGATTCTTGGATATTTTCTAAAGCGTTTATAAGCAAAATTTCTGAGAAAATTCATCTTTATCATATGCGTTGCTTGTCTTACTAACTTTCCCATCAATTTACTGTGTTCACTGTGTAATTCTTTTTTAGGTACTTATGAAATTAATATGTGACTTTAGTAACATGGAACAAGTTATGACTGAACTAAAATATGATTCACGCCGAGCTCCTCTAGGAAAGCTTAGTAAATCACAAATTTGTGCAGGTTATACAGCATTGGATAACATATCCCAAATGATTGGTGCTTTGTCAGCTTTAAGTCAAGCGTGTAGTACTGAAACAGAAACTAAGCCAAGGGGCAGAGTAAAACGTATCATCAAAACAAATGTGGGTGATAAACGTAAACTTGAAGAACAATTACTGTTGGCCTGTAATGATTTCTATACACGGATACCTCACGATTTTGGGTAAGAGACTGTTTATGACCATTGCAATCAGCAAAAATACAAACTAAAGTGATATGCTGTATGACCAAAAGATCTCATTTTAGGCTTACTATCTCGTAATTAACTCTCTCTAACTATTTTTCTCATACAGTAATGATATATCTGTTTATTCGTATTGTCGCTTAAGTGTTACTCTAGTGGATAAATTCGCATTTTTTTACCCTACGAAAGGGTATCGCAATTTTTTATTGTTTACATCTACAATAATATGTATCCACTGTACGATGCGTTATTTACATAAGGTGAAAGTGTTAAATACTACGGAGAGTAGTACTGTTGTAGAAAACGAATGTATTATTACCCTTGTTTGGTCCTATAAAGCATTTGACAAGGTGCGGGAGACTAGTAATATTGAAAACCCTTATTGTTGTGAGCAACCAAAATCTACCAATTGGCAAAGATTCTACGAGATTTGGAAAACAGATATGCAATCCATCCTCGACTCATCCATATAAAGACATTGTTGTGACTTTGAAGCCCTGCTAATAATCATAGGTTAGCTGTGGAAAGTACCGGATATGTATTAAAAACCGACGTATTAAACATGGGGAACACCTATCTTTTTTATTATTCGTCATATGCGCAAATAAAATATCAAAATGCGTAAAGGGCTAGTGGATCCCCTCATATACACAGATAATATGATATTGTTTACCGAAACAGCGCCGTAGCTGCAGTACAAACTTGATACGTTGCGTAAGTTATTGGGCTGAGGAGGCCTGTAAATAAACCTCACCAAGCCATTAACCGTATTTTTCAGTAATATTTGTTCATTTTAAAATATGCAATTCTTATGTTTAGCTTTCCTTAATAATTGATTTTGGTATCCTATTCTCTACTTTTCAACTTATCAATCTCCCCTAATTTTTCTGTTATGGTGTTTTGTTGTAAGGTAGAGCAACCGATCACTTATGTCAGATATGCGCTGTAATCAAGTTAATAAATTTAGTTCAATTTGACTTATGTTTTCATAATTATGACATTTTAATACTTTTCTAATACGGTTATTTTAATAAGAAATGTATGTCGACTGTCTTTATGATTTTTTTTTCGTTTTTTACTTTTCTTATAGTATGCGTATACCACCGGTTATTCGTACAATGCCTGAAGTCAAATCAAAAATTGAACTACTAGAAGCCTTATCCGATATTGAATTTGCTGTAAATATTTTGAAGAAAAATCAATCATCTACTGAAAATATTATTGATGTAAATTATAAACGACTGAATTGTGACATTAAACCTCTGCGATCAACTGATCCAATGTATTCGGTAAGAATTACACATGTATACCGAACTGTTTTATGTATCTATTTTGCTTTCTCAATTGTTTCAATGAATGAATAAATAAATTCACCTCACTCCTTTGGTTGATTTTAGTGTAAAAGATATCGGAAACTGAAAAGTAGTCTGACGTACTCTTTTGATATCTCGTTCCACAACTAGTATTGATTAATCGCTCAGACATAATAGTGACCGATAGTTTATACAAATCAAAGGTTATTTCCGCCAAAAACTGACATAAAATGGACTGGGTCCTGTGTAGGATGATTTTATGCTAAATCATTACAAGACGACTACCTTAGTCAACAGATACCAGTTGAGTTATAGGAATGTCGTAGAAAACACTGAAGGTTTAGCGATAACCTTTATCACAAATTTCACTGTCGTCACTTGTATGCATATTTGATTCTTTTATTTAGTACGAGTGAAATATAGTGCAACTGAGCACCATAAATAGTATGCGCCACACTAAAAAATATTTGTATATGGGCTAAGATAAATTTTCAGCTCCAAAGCTGGAACAAGTGCAGTTTTCTTAGGGAACTACTCTCCGAGCAGTGGAACGTCATTGAATCCTGTCCTATGGTAGACAACGATCAGGAATCCTTTCACAAGCCATTCATTTCTTTAGGATCGTCGAACTCATGTTTTGAAACCAGACTTTCTCAACTCCCTTAACTCGACCCTCTGTATCCACCAATCTTGTAAAAAAAACATCGATATAGTTGACTAGACTATAGTAATCAGTTCACTAGTGACGCACTTCAAGGTGTTCCCGAGGTTCTGGTAAAAAGTCATGACTAACAGAGTTCAAACCTATCGGGATTGTGAAATACTTAACAACAATGACATTGTGTGGTCGTTGCGCTACATCACAAATTGATAGGAGTTGAAAATATGTAACAGTGGGTCCCGATCCAGTAGTTTAAGAGATTAGGTGTTCACTGCTGGGCCTGAATGTCTTGGTGTGTTCTCTATTGGGTCTTTGTCGACGGTTTATGGGGATTCCCATAATGGAGCGAAACAACCGTCCTTTGGCTATCTGATCTTCTATAATACTCCCTCTGAGATCAGTCTGTGGGAAATGCAATCTGGAAATATTAGTTTTTGATGTATTTCGCACAGTTGCTCACATGACTATAGTTCTTATGATGAATTAGCCTTGAATATTTTGGTAGAATACACCAGTGCATCGCAATCCCGAGAATTCTTTTAAAAAAGTGAAATGGACAGTTGCTTAGTACTTAACTTGTTTGTCAGTAGTAGTTATTTGACAAATCACAACCCATACTGTAAAATTTTACATCCTTGTTGTCAACTTCAACGTTACAATATTCTAACATTTATTTTATCAATTAAGAAAATTTCGCGACTTATTACCTCGGCTACCCAAGCTGATGTAGGTTAACTATGTTTCGTTGCAGCTGACAGACGTGCTTTAAGCATTAAATTGACTATTCAGACTTTTGCTCAAGTAAGCTATAGTGTAGCCAGTTCTTAACTTCAATCAGTAGGTAAGTCGGTAGTCAGTGAAGTGTAAATTAAAAATTTATTAATTTAATTCCTTGTACATGCCATTCCTATTACTTTGACTGTTCATCGTTTGTCTAAATGTTAAATATTTTTGTTGTCGAAGTTGTTAACCGATTACATGCACGAAACACATGGAGTTACACATAATTGGTATACATTGGAAATATTAGATATATTCGAATGTCAAAAATCTGCAGAACAAGGAGAATTCAAAGATTACGGGAATAGGTAATTTGAAAAAAACCCAACATTTCTCGGATTTAATGTTGAATAATATAGTTTTTTTGACAGGATTGTGTTTATAGTTTTATGGAGTAAGAGTTACACCAATTCCTTTTTATTTTGTAACACATCATGAAAATATCTCATGAGAACTGTTTTATTTGTAGGGACCTAACAGATATTTGACAAAATGTGACTGTTTATTGTATATGTTTTGGACGTGTATAATTAGAAGAACTGCGTATATATATCACTTATTATTAGTCTCATTGCCTTTATATAACCTCTGAATGATTGCTTCCCAGCATATACAGACACGTAGATCTTAACTATGTTTATTCATACACTTTGTATCCCTATTCTTCTGATTATTGTGATTTTAGTTACGTTTTGAACATTCATGTAAACTGCACATACTAAGGTATGCTAGAAATTTGTCAAGAATTATATTTACCAGTATAGGGTTGTGGAGATTGTTGAGTTTGCATTGATATCATGAATGGATGAATGTTAGACCACCATTTAAAATCTGGAAGCACCAGTGCGTGTTCACGACTCTGCATATGGGATTTGAACCCAGGACCTTCTGTTTTGCTCTCGAACGCTTAAATTTAGACCACTGAACTGGTATCAAACGGTGTTAATATCTAACTTCAACCAATCCACAATATTGCGTCCCATACTAAGATTAAACGTCCGTCCAGTACTTCCAGGTGTTGAAGTTGTACATTAACACTTTTGGGTACCGGCTCAATGGTCTAGACGTTTAACGTTCGCGCGCGAGACTGAAGGTCCTGGGTCCGAGTCCTATGGTTGTTTAACATTCATCCATTCATGATATCAATTTAAATTAAGTTTATATTAATAATCGTAATTTCAGGTTGTATGTAGCTGATAATAAAACATAGACTGATGAATTCATTTTATTCTGCAAACCTTGTTATTCTTGGTGTGTTTAAATTTATCAAGTGATCTGGTTGTACAATATTTAATCTATACATACATTTATCTATAGTTTCTCATTATCATTATAGGATGCTTCTTTGGCATGGAAGTCGTTTAACTAATTGGGTTGGCATTTTAGGCAGAGGTTTACAAATTGCTCCGCCTGAAGCTCCATCTTCTGGTTATATGTTTGGAAAAGGTGTATATTTTGCTGATTGTTCATCGAAATCAGCCAATTATGTTTATCCAACACAAGCTAACAATGTTGGACTCATGATTGTTTGTGAGGTAAATTATATATATATATATATATATATACTGCTGAGTATTTGCAAACTAAAACGGAAAAGTTCACAAATAATTTTCTAATTTTCATTAATTCCACAACATATAACTAAAACTATCATCTTAGACTTCTAGTCGCCTTGAGCAACAAGGTGAGCATATTTGATATGCGTTTCTTTCCCTTCCAATGAGTAATATTGCTTTAAATCTATCAACTCCTAGACTAGTGATTTAATGAATTGGTTAAGAGCATTGATCACTTCATTTATTTTAGAAGTCTTATGAACCCAAGTTAATCGATGTTTGTTGCTTTGTAACAGCTTATGTCATCTGTGATATTTGCGCGATGCACAAATGTCAATAAAGGGATATGTGTACTGTGCAACAGCTTGTTCTCTTTTGATTCATGGCTGTCAAACATGATTTTCTAAAGTTAAAAATATTAGGTTGTTAGTATTCGATCATAGAAATCTTCCAAATATTACCCGCGTATAATGGAACAAGAAAGTGAGCTATTTCTGTTTAGATTACTAAGACGGATTATTCTTTGATAGTATTGAACTTTCATTAAGTGGGGGTAGCTGAAATGTATCCTGCATTTAGCCAGTCACTACCTACCCAAACTCATAATCTTGACTGGAACAGAAGTAGTTGAAAAAAAGCTAGACGCAACGAAACAGAAAATTGACAGCATCCCATGAAGTTAGTGATTGTTATGTTGTTGGTTGCAGAGTACCTTATTGAATTGTGACCAAACGATGAGAATTCACAATCTCATCAACTGATAGACCATCTTTATCGAGTAGCGTAAAATTAACCTCGATATCACTCACATAATCTTGTACTGTATGTATACTTGTGTTAGCGGGATTTAGATGGGATTAAAGCATGTTCCGTATAGTATTGTTTTGGGGCACGTTGAATGACTATTTTTAACTCATCAGCGCTAGCGGAGACTTGGAGAAGACTATGAAATCTTATGTAAACATTATAAATATTACTAACGTCTTTCTTATTGTGATTTTTATTTTCATCTACCCTTGTTATTGGGAATATAATTACATTCCAGTCCAACCATGTTCTGATTTGGGGACTTGTGGAGTGAAGTAGTGTCCAAGAAATACTAAACAATGAGAGCAGCTGGGTCGTACTAAGAGAAATCAAAACATCTTGATAGATAAGTTGTACTAATACATAGTTGTATTTTTGTTCAGACTGTATTAAACCTTATAAGCCTTATTATTTTACTCGTTTAAAATGACTAATTACTGTGAATGTTTCCTATCCTTATTCAAAAATCCATCTCATTTTATTTTACCATTTAAATGATCAGCAATCTTTATCATTTGTTCTTTTTTATTGAAATCATCTAAGGTCTCATTAGGTAAACAAAGAGAATTATATCAATCATGTTCTAATGCTCATGAAAATCTCGCTGATTATCATAGTGTAAAAGGTGTTGGTAAATGGCGAACAGATTCTGCAACATGGAAAACTTTGTAAGATGTTTATTTGTGTTGTTTTCTGCTTCGAATATGTATTTTTTCATCTTTATATCATCCTATATAAATAGATATACACTATCAAAATGGGGGTTTGTGGAGATTGTAGTAATATTGGTAGTTAAATTCATGAGTCGATCTAAGCTAGACCACCATTGGAAACCTAGAAGCACTGGACGGTCGTTTCGTCCTTCTGAAGAGTCCCATATGATGACGAAAACGGCCGTTCAATGCTTCCAGGTTTTCAATGGTGGTCTAGCTTAGATCGACTAATGAATTCAACTATTAAAAATATCTTTTCTACTCTATCATTTATCATATGGTGAGTATTTTCAACTTAGTACTAGTCCATCATGTGACTAATATTGGTAAACTAATTAATTGATTTTTCCTTTTGTTGCATAGTTTATTATACAATTTAAACTATTGTTTAAGCAGAGAAAATCTACTCTGCTCAATTCTGGTTGTTTTGCTGGATCTGTACACTTTTAACCAGTACAGTACAATATGAAAATATGGCAAATATTGCGCATTGTTTCAAATTGTTGTCACATCATTTCAACTCAGAGAAATGAAATTGTGAAAACTTATACCTGGAGTAGTTGAAATAGTGACAGTATCATTAGTAGTATTGAACGCTAGACATAGAGCATATGGTTTGGGAAAATATAAATTCATAGAATAAAAACGTCCAAAATATTTTTGCAACTCAAGATATAAGGAAAATTAAAAATGGATGAGCCTGGAATATTACAAGAGATTCTGAGCAACATCACTGTTGTATCTTGAGATTAAGGTTCGGTACAGGCCTACAGTAATTACTTAATATTGAACATTTGAGCGTATCCTAGTATGAATAATATCTATGACGGACTTTGCAGAACGGTAACAGGCACACAACAACACTCCAACGTTAATAAGCTATACCCTTACACTCGATAGAAAAGATGGGACTTCCTGTATATCCTACTATTTCATAAAAAATTCAAACATTGCAAGTAGTCGACTCTATTTATATATTTACATCCAATACCCTTGGGACGCTTAAAAAACCAACAAATTAAGAATGGAAAGACAACTAATCAAATAATCACAAAGGTTATTGAAGAAAGATTAATTTGAAACATGTCCTCCAGGTTATGTTTGAAAAAAGAACTAACCAACTGTTGATTATGACAGTCGCTCAGATCTCAACCAGGTAGTCCGCACCTACCTACATGGCTCAAATTAATGGTCTATGATTATGGATTAATGGCACCGGTCAAGTTAACAACCATTATGTTCTAATCAGTTAAGTATTTGATTTCATTCCAGTTCTGGCTATGCGGCTAGGTTCCCGTTCTGTCTTCATTTACGTAATAATTTGAAACTAAGATTGAGGTTTTGTCCCGTTGTCAGTCGAAGGCTGTTACTCCTTAGCTGATGAAGCATCAGACTTGGTAATCTGACAGCGTTTACCTGAGTTTGACTTCATTTCATTTTCGTTTGTTGTGCTGCTGTGAAATATAGCAATTTAAACCGTATTATTACTGCAAAATAACTAATTCAACTGTATGGAATAGACGGAGTGTGGCTATCAGCAGAATCCAAAACGCTTGTTTCGTCCCACTTGGGACTCTTTAGCTAGATGTACCTGCATCTCAGTGTTCAGGTTCATACCTAGACTCAAACCCAGCACCTTCCGCTTTCAAACTCCTTCTAATAATGATATGATTATTATTCCGTCTTAAAACTTATTTAAAATGACACAAAGAAGAGACGAAAAACACCAATGGTGGAGAAGATTTGTAGCTCAGGTGGATGATTTTGGTGGAGTTTTGTTCTCTGAGCTGGATGGTTTGGTCGTGGAGCTTTCATCGTTCCTAAGACAGAGGAAACTCCAAAAACACCAGAGAATTTTTAGAAGCTTGGCACTCAGGTCAATCAGCAATCAACAAACATATTGAAATCAATCCAATTTATCAACCAATCAGGAAAATCATGCATAAATATAGGAACAAAAATCAAACCAATGAGAGACACAACCAAAACAAAGAAGTAAACAATGATAAATTTAAGGTCAACAAGAATCAATCAACATCGAGGTGCACAGAACAAGCTGTGAAACACATATGGAGAAATTCGAACACTTCACTTCAGAAGAACGATGAAAGCTCCACGACCAAACCATCCAGCTCAGAGGACAAAACTCCACCAAAAAATACCAATGCTAGATTATGACTTATCCAACATTGAGAGCAGATCAAACATTATGTTTTGAATACACAGATTTCTATACGTTTTTGACTTGATTAATAATAACCACTTACTTCAAGTAAATTGAACTTGTTCACTATTTTATTAGTTATTCACTATATGAAGACAAGTTAAGAACATCATAAAATTGAGCTTACTACAATCAACATTTAATAACTTACCGTCTTCTGTTAAAAAACTTGTATGAGTTTGTGCAAGGTTGTACATTGTTTATGATCGACTGGATGAATTTATTGACGTACTTCTCACAAACTAACCATATTCTTTTTTAAAAATAGGTTGAGGTATGTTAAGTAAGGTCACCTTTAACAGTACAACTGCATATCGAAAATGAATAACTTTGATTCAGTAAATATTTGTTTAATTAAGTACAGATGTGTTTTGTGGACATTTTAGGTGTAAACTTGGAGACAAATTTTTATTACAAACTAACATCAACTAGATAATTCTTGCAAACCAAGAGCTATCTTAGTTAGTAGTTTGTTTGATAACGTTGACTATTGCCTACTCATTAGATATCAGTTTATTGCTTGTTTGTGATTGCTTATCAACTATTACCCCAATACCACGTTAGTATATTACAGTTGGTTTTAACAGACCATTTATCAAATGTCTGTCAGTCGCAGTCAAAGAAATATTGCTCAAGGTGTATCGATTACCGCTTTATCCACAGAGGTAAGATGAATATGTGCGACCTAAATATTAACGTCGAATAAAAGAAGTTAGGCCAAAATAGCGTATCAGTTGATGTGCCTGAAGTGAATAGAATATGTGTTACGCACGCCCAATCAATGTATAATGTTGGATGGTGTTTTAGCGACCGAACTAAGGTTTATCGTCGCTATGTGAAATTATTGATTTCTGTTCTAAGCCATCTTGTTGGTTGTAGTGCACATGGTTGAACTCTTAGAGATAACCGTAATCAGCGATTAATTACACCGTGTAATATGGCTTACAGTTAATCTCAGTGACCTAGAAACTTCCTCTCTTTATCTCCTGTTTAGATCTTCAGTTATAGTATCCCTTCTCACATTCACAGTCTGATATATATTATTTATACAATGGAGGCTGAGATTGCATTCTACACTCAATGGGCAAGGTTAAGCGAAAAGGACCAATAGAGATTTAGAGTTAACATAAGACCGCTAATTCTGATTGGACGTGTAATTCATTGATTTAAAACAAGAACAAAATCATATAAGTCAGTATTCAGATTGACGATTTTATTCTATAATAATTAGCAGAGAAAAAAGTTATAAAAGTTTACATATGGTAGTCTTCAATATTTTTTAAAGAAGATTCTGTATAAATTCACTTGGTGTTGTTTTATTTGTTATTTAAGATTGCAATTGATCAGTCTCATGTTGGTATATTGTGCTGTGCTTCCTGTGCGGATTGCCTCGATATAGTCTTAAGTCACAAGCTTTTTAAGCAAAGATGGATAGTGGCTAGCAGTGGAATTCAGGACGCACGTTTCGTCCTATTCCATTGCTAGCCACTACCCATGTTAGCTTAAATAATTCTGTGTAATTTTATTTTCATAAATTTTTCTTCTATTCATTTAGGAATGATGGTGTTATAGTACCATGTGGAAAATTAATTCAAGCACCTGAAATTGAAGCAAATAAATGTATTTTACAATTTAATGAATATATTGTCTATTGTGTAAATCAAATACGTTTACGATATTTACTGAAGGTGAAATTTAATTTTGTTCATTAAAATATCTTTGTCAGTATTGTCCTATTTGGTTATTGTTATTTTTCCCTAATTTTTTTTCTTTTTACATACAAATTTTATTGACTGTAACGATCCCTTTTAGTAACTATGATGTTTTCGTTTTTATATATAAGATTACTGAAATGTTTTTTTATTATTTTGTATAATAAAAATTATATACGTATAATCTTGATCAATGATTAGATCTATTTTTTATTATGAGTTGGTTTTCTTTTGTTGTTTAGTCATAACAGAAGGGTTTTTGTGGATATTATAGTAATTTCAATGGTTGAGATCATGAGTCAATTGAGGCTAGATCACCACAAAAAACCTGGACGGCCGTTTCGTCCTATTGTGGGACTCCCCAGTACTGTACATCCACGATCCCGCTCCGCGAGAATCGAACGCGGGACCTACCAGTCTCGCGCGGGAGCGCTTAATCCCTAGACCACTGAGCCAGCATCCAACCGTGTTATTGACTGACTTCAACCAATCCACGAAATTGAGCGACTGTTTAGTCATAATTTAATTTTTAAGCAATTGGTATATCTTCCAAAAACATTCTTTATATATCGTCTGTAAAATCAGTAACTTTTTACATTACCAATAACACAAAGATCAATAAAGTAGACTAAAACTACTCATTGCCTTCTCGTGGCGGAGGTGTTGTTTACGAAAATGAGAGGACGAAAAGCGAATGTCCGGCGCTTTAACTGGATCCTAAACCAATGGTGCACATGGGCTCCAGTATCCTGCGGGAACAAATGGCGTATGAACCAATCGTTGGTAACCGGCTACTATGGGATTGCACCTCTTTACGATGCTCCACTGCCTTGTAGGTTAGACCTTTAGGTCAAAGGCTCGGGGAGTGGCCCCCTAAGATAACCACCTGCTTCGGTTTGGGCACCCGGGCAATATCACAGCCCACACAAAAATGATAAACTCTCTATGTCTATGGAAACTACTTTTCTCGCTTCCAAAAACCATCAATTGATTCAAATTATTATCATTACTATTATTGTCATTACAAATATTATAATTACTATTGCTACTATTATTGTCATTATTATTATTTTCCACATTATTCACCCTCTTTTACACTTATACAGCGGCTCGTCTTTGGTGGAAATTCGACTGTATCTAAACGTTCTCGAGTCACTGTCCGGTTGAAAATTGTATGCTACCACCAAATATGAGTACTCAAGCAGTTTTTCTTAAAATACGTGCACCATTCAAATTGGCTGCCTTCAACGTTCGCACGCTTATGCAGGTCGGACAACAGATAGGGCTGGCTATGTCTTAATATCGACGTTTGTTGTCTATCCAAGATCCGTATTCAAGACTATAGTGAAGTACTAAAAATTCGCTCTTCATCTGTCGCTTCGAAAAGCTTGTTTTGCGTGCGTTTATCCGAAAACCCTGTGGCATCTTCGTCTGACCTTGCTGGCATTGGTGTCACACTAATCGCTAGAGCTGAGGCAACACTAACCGATTGGATCCCAATTAACAGTCGGTTTTGTGCTGTTAGATTAGAAAGTTCGATCGAAGTGAGAAGAAATTGGCGTGAGGAACGATGTCTTTTCGTCATCTCCGCCTATGCCCCGACAGATTGCAGCTCGGATGCAATCAAGGATGAGTTTTACCACCAGTTAACTGTTCTTCTCCAGAAAGTGCGTTCGACAGATATTGTAGTACTAGCCGGAGACTTGAATGCTCAGGTCGGGCGTCTAGGCACAGAAGAGAGTCGTTTAGGTGGGCGATGGGGACTCGTTGGTCGCAGGACAAATAACGTGGACCGTCTACTGCAACTGTGCACAGACCACAACCTGTTTCTGGCTAGCACTAACTTTCGGCACAGTCATCGCCGATGTGCCACCTGGCGTCCTCCCTCTGCATCTCAAGCCTGGACTCAGATTGATCGCATCGCGATCAGCTACCGCTGGCGTGGTTGTGTACAAGACTGCCGCTCCTTTTGGAGTACCTATCTGGACTCTGACCATGCCTTGGTCTGCGCCAATCTTACCTTACTTTTCAGTGGACAACGAAGTGACCGCCAGCAAAGGATTGATGTTAGCAAGCTGGTTGCAACTTCTGTTGCTAGTAAGTATCGAACCGAGCTAGCTTCTAGGCTAGCTACCATTCCACCGAAAAGTATAGATGAGCATTGGTTGCAATTGCATGACGCCATGAAAATGGCGGGAACAGTCAGTTGTGGGTTCGCGAAACGTCCCGCTTATAAGCACTGGGTTTCTTCTGGTTCCTTACAACTCATTGAAGCCCGTCGGTCTACTCCGGGTGACCGTGAGTTTGACCACAAACGAAGGATGTTACGTAAGTAAATTGGGCAAAGCTTGCGTAAGGACCGAGAAGCCTGGTGGTCGGAGCGTGCTAATGAGTTGGAAGCAGCGGCTGGTAACAACCTGAAGCTCTTCCAACTCATCCGAGCCACTGGCAGCAAGAAGTCTGGTGTGAGCGAAACCATCTGTGAGAATGACGGGATGCCAATCACATTCTGGAAGCAGCTCTGGTGGATGTAAGTAATGGTGGTGTGGATCTGTCGCCTGGGGAAAGACTTCTCGACCTTGAGTATGCGAATAATATTGTCTTACTGTGCGATAATGTTCAAGCCATGCAATCCGCATTTAATCAGTTGGCAATCAATGTCCGTAGGTATGGTATGTGCTTTGCACCTTCGAAGTGCAAAGTACTTCTACAAGACTGGCAGGATTGTAATCCTGTACTCACCCTGCATGGTGAGCAGATAGTAGTCGAGAAGTTCGTGTATCTAGGTAGCTGCATAAGTGCTGGTGGGGGCGTGAGTGACGAGATCGATTCACATATAGTGAAAGCCAGAGCGGCTTCTGCCAATCTGGACCATCTTTAGGGCCTTCGAGTTGAGGATGTTAGACGACTCTCTGTGTTCGATCATCGTTGTCTCCGAAGGATTGCTGACATCCAGTGGCAAGACCATGTCAGTAATGCAGAGGTTCGGCATCGTGTGTTCGGGTACAGAGATGATAATTCAATTGGTGTCACCATCTTGAAACACCGACTTCGGTGGCTTGGACATGTTCTCCGAATGTCGTCCCAGAGAATTCCACGTCGTGCATTATTTGCCGACTCTGGGACTGGTTGGAAAAAGCGGAGAGGTGGGCGGTGTATGACATAGTGTCGTGGTATGAAAGAAAGCTGCAAAGGACTGGCTTCTGTCGGTCCTTCACGACTCCCTGGTTGGGGTCCGAGAGATGGTGCTACACAGTGGCTAGAGAAGTTATCAGATATGGCTCAGAATAGAAGCCAGTGGCGATCCTGCTGTAACCTTCTTTTACTTTCTTTATAAAAAGTGGTTGTGTCTCCCTTAACTGAAAGATTTCTTCTGATTGTACCTTTCCGTTCCCTCTTTATTACTATTACTACACTACCTTACACCAACCTCTTCGTTATTGTTCTTTTTTTTCTCACGCTCCTTATCTTTTTTTTTCTTTTTCTTCAAATCCTCATTGTTTTGTGTGGCACATATATATTGGCGCTCTCTTGTAACAATATTCGTGTTTTCAAATAATAAATAAAACTTGTTGGTCATCTTACTCGTTCCAACCTAGTGTCTATTCAGAAAAGGAAGTTCGTATGCAGATATATATATATATATATACGACAGGTTCCTAATGAAACAACAGTATGAATAAAACATTAGATTTTATCCATACCAACACCATTAGTTAAAGAATAAACTGATTAATAGGTCTTTAATTAATGAACAATAATTTAAAGAATGTAATATCTACAACAATAGTTTTTGAACCAAAACAAAAACGTATAAACGACAATATAAGAATACAATATTCCAAGTATTTATACGAATATTTGTCATTAGTAGAACGAATATTTTGACAAAAAATAGACGCCGAGTATTTAATACAAACAATAATTACATTTACTTATTCTTAAGTTATCTAGTCCGGTCAGTTTTATAGAATGGACAGTATAATAACAGAGTATTATACTGATAGCGTTGAGCTAATTAATGTAACCATACTATGAGTATGACATTGTGTTTATACTGAATTATAGGAAACATGTTCCTGATTAGTAGATGATTTCAGAGTGCTTGATCTGATTCAAGAGTATTTGTGTTGCTAAACGCTAACTAAAATCTCAACCCTAACTCTCATAAGTGTGTGTAGTAAACGGTGGAAAAGTATTATTGAATAATAGTTTATGTCAGGTCGTGACAAACATAAATCATGACACTAACTCAACCCGTAAAATGTAATCCTGACATTTTCTTTCCCTTACTCTAATGGATAATTCAACATATAAGGGTTCATTAATCACGTCGAAATTATTTGACATTTGTAAATTTATCGTCAATTGTCTTGCAGTTAAACACTTTCCTGTTAAGTTGTTCATGATCTTCAGTATAATATACTTTTCCGATAGTGATGTTTGAGTGTACTCATTAAGTTTAGCTTTATAGTATAGTTGAAGTATTTGTGCATCTGTTGTGATTTGCATTCAAGAATGTGTGCAGGATAAAGAAAAGGATTGGTCACGTAACTAAATTAGTAAGAATAATAGATTTGTATAGATTCTCCAAAAGCATTATTTAAATTGTAGATAGTGATAACGTGTCAGCATATCCATCCATTATGTTTACTATCAATTTATGTCCTTCAGGATGTTGCCATCAAACCTAAACAGCTGTATATGCACTACAGGATTAACAATTCCAGATTACTACTACCAAGCTTCAAACCACATGTTGGAGCTCCACACGTTCTTCATATTGTAAGACATATTTACTGTTAGCAATATATAGAGTTCAGGCAATGTTGGATATCTGAAGCATTCACTCAAGGTAGTTTTAACTAAAAATCATGGTTACGTTAAAATCAAAAGAAAAATGGATGAGTCACCAAACTACGGTTTGAACGTTGTGATATCCTTAAGATTTTGTCGAAGTTCGATATAGAGTCTTGGAGTGTGACATCTGTTTACTTGAATGGAGTGAAGCGGGAACGTCTGTATGTCTGATATTAGGAAACGGACAACTAAATTTTTCATCAACGGACTGGGATCGATTGCTATTTCGTCTAGCTAGTAGTTTCGCTCTTCAGTAGAACTCACTAGGTATTGTTGCTATTGCAGTCACTAAAATGATGACGACTTACTCTAAAAGTCACTTTTCACGTGATAAGATACCTTGACCTTATTTCTGAAAAATAAACTAAGACATATCAAATGGATCCGTTATCATAAAATACAATATTTCGATATGCTTCTTACGTCGACATGAGTAATATATAACACACCTCAGAAGTAGAATACCTAGCATCAGAAGGTTGAGAAGATCGAAGAGAACGGGAATACAGTAACTGTTGTGGCAATGAAGTTCGAGACAATTGATGGGATATGTATGTATCGTTATTATATTTTATCGAGATATTCTGTAATTTTGTATTGAAATATTATTGTTTGTCCCCAGCCTGTGTTCTCGTTCATTACATGCTTGGAGCTCTGCGTACATATATCAGAACTTCTACTCTAATCTGGTAGATTAAAATCAATACTGCTAAAATCGCATTGAATAGTGTCTTTGAGGTTTAATAAATACACCAGGCACGTTTTATTTGTAAAGTGTTAGTAATATTGTTAAAGTAAAGACGAGACGTAAACGGTCATCCAGTGTTTTTACGTTTTCAATGGTGGTCTAACTTAAATCGGATCATGATTTCAATAAAAAAACGAAGCATTTGTAACCAGGCAGTTGAGTCTATACCGCATTTGTTAAATAATTTTTCATATCTGGTTTGAATTATAGGTCATTATTATTACTAGTTGATAAGGGGTGGTAGTTGGGATTTAGAAATGGATAGTTTTCTAAAATTATATTTAAAACCGAACACTAATTAATACACATTTTTAACTTCTCATATAATCTATTTGCAGACTAAATAGGTTATTTTTATGGAATAAATAAACAAACATGTTATTGAATTAATAAATAATTATATTTACAATAGAGAAATACTATTTATCAACTATAAGATAAATGTTCGCCGACTTCTACCAATTTCTGTTCGTTTACGAACCCATTCATAATTACCATATTGACTATCGAAAGTACCTAGTTGAATTGAACGTAATTTCAATGTGAATTTTGGTCCAACTTCATTCATTGCGATATGTTCTGTATTATGTTTACCTTCATTTTCATTATCATCATCGTTATGAACATCAGTTGTATCACGATGTATATAACGATAATGTCGAAAAAAGATATAATCTCTTTGATTATGAAAAACGATTGTTCTACTATGTGGTTGTGGCGGTAAACGACTTCATTAGGAAATAATGAACTTAAAATACGTTCAGTACGTAGACCAAGACGTGTCATAAAACGTGTAGTGATCAAATGTGGTATTATATTCGATTCAATATATTTGACTCTTTTAGCTGAACGCATTTCACGACGAAGTAACACATTAGTTAGGCGAAATGTAGCTGTTGGCCCGTTTGGTAAGTGACTAACTATTAGAGTATTAATTTTTTTCTGATCTTCATTAACAATTATTAAACAAGTGAATTGACGTTCAATAGCCATAGGGATAATTTTTTTAAGAGGTAAATGCCAACGTGCAACAAGATGAACATTTGGAATGACCTGATAATTTATATATGAAATTAGAAACAATGTTAGTTAAAATAAAATGATAGATTTTCTGAAAAAACTATCTATATATCAGGTGGCTCGGAGACAATGTGCCTTTAACTAAATTTTGTAACTATTAGCGCTTACAATCAACGTGTATCGGTAATCTTACTTATGCCTATTACCTCAAGTGGAGGAAAGGCCGCTCACCAGCATTCTACATCCAACTCTGTCCTGGACAATCATTCCCAATTGTTTCCAGCTGCTATTTATTCTTTTCATGTCTGCTTTCAACTCACTGCACAGTGTGTTCTTTAGCCTTCCTCTTTTTCGTTTCCCTTCAGGAGTCCAAGTTAGCGCATGCCTTGTGATTTAGTTTGATGGTTTCCGTAATGTATGTCCTATCCGCTTACAGCGTTTATTTCTAATTTTCTCTACAGCTAGAAACTGGTTTGTTCTCTCCACAAAGGGCTGTTGCTGATATCCGGCCAACAGACATGCAATATCTTACGTAGATAATTGTTTATTGGTAGTTTATTTAGTAAATTAATTACCCCCAAATGCCCTGGTACGGCCGAGAGTGGGGAGAGTTCGCTCTCCCTCTCAAAATGCTCTCACATAGCCACGCGTATATAGCCTCTGCCAGGTAAGTCCTACTCACTGTCTTCTCGTGGCGGGGGTGTTGTTTACGAAATTGAGAGGATGGAAAGCGAACGTCCGGCGCTTTAACCGGGTTGGTGGACATGGAGGGTCCACCTAGGGTTTGGAAAGCCCTGATTCCAAACCAATGGTGCACATGGGCTCTAGTATCCTGAGTAGACAAATGGCGTATGAACTAATCGTTGGTCACCGGCTGCCATGGGACTGCATCTTCTCACGATGCTCCACTGCCTTGTGGATCAGAACTTTGGGCCGAAGGTTCGAGGTGCGGCCCCTTAAGAAAACCACCTGCTTCGGTTTGGGCACCCGGGTAGTATCCCAGCCCTCACACATATCAAATGAGATTTGTGTGGCACATGTGTATTTGGTGCCTCCTTGTACCAATATCTATGTGTTAAGATAAGTAATAAATAAATAAATTATAAGTTATTAGAATCAAAAAATTTACACAGTTTTAAACTGAACTTCAGAAATATAAATCACTAAATTTTGGTTACTCATGAATGCACATACGTCTTCATGATGATCGACAAAAATGCAAGAACAAAAGTAGTTTTATTTACTCTTCCCTTCTTAAAATGTTGGAAACTAATAAAGTTAGAAACTTAAGTGAAAAAATTTCACAATGTAAAGCAATACTTACCATACTTAGTTCTTTACAAAATCCGATTGTCCTAGGACAAACACGATCAGAATGAGTCAACAAAATTTTAGGAGTAATTTCTCCACTAAAAATAGATGAAAACTCATCCTAGATTAGAGAAATCTAAAAATTTATTTATACAACATACCGTTTCATGTTCAATGACAACTTCTTCATCATCTTTAGGAACGATTGTTTCATCAACTGTTCTAAGTGATTCAAGAGTTTGAGGAATTCCTGCCGGTGCACCACTTTCTTTTCGTTGTTTCCGTTTGATTCTACGTTCTTTTGCTTTTTGAATCCTTTCCTTGTGTATTATATCTCTAAGATGATGACGTGTAGTTTCTTTACGAATTGGCATGGTCAGAAATTTTAATTTATTCAAATTTTGTAAGTATTCAATCACTTAGTGTTTTCTGGATGGATATACACAGTTTACAAAACACAGCCGAAAGAAAACTATAAACATAGAATAATCTAAGAAAAAAGAACACAAGACGGAAAAAATTTAAATTTTACGGTGGTATGAAACCTTAAAGAAAAAGACTGAGAAGCAAGATTAGATCCTCTAATTGTTAAAGCGACCGCAAAATGTAATTTATTTTATTTATTTGAACACATAAATATTGGACCAAGAGGTCGCCAAATATATATGCGCCACACGAAACAATGAGAATGGCAAGAGGAAAAAAGAAGGTAAGGAGCGCAGAAGAAAAAAAGAACATGACGACCAGATTAGTGTGAGGTAATGTAATAATAATACTAATACTAATAATGCTACTACTACTAATAATAATAATAATAACAATAATAATAATGGGGGAAACTGGAAGGTACACCCAGAAGAAATCTTCCAGTTAAGGGAGACACAACCACTTTTTATAAAGAAAGTAAAAGAAGGTTACAGCAGGATCGCCACTGGCTTCTATTCTGAGCCATATCTGATAACTTCTCTAGCCACTGTGTAGCACCATCTCTCGGACCCCAACCAGGGAGTCGTGAAGGACCGACAGAAGCCAGTCCTTTGCAGCTTTCTTTCATACCACGACACTATGTCATACACCGCCCACCTCTCCGCTTTTTCCAACCAGTCCCAGAGTCGGCAAATAATGCACGACGTGGAATTCTCTGGGACGACATTCGGAGAACATGTCCAAGCCACCGAAGTCGGTGTTTCAAGATGGTGACACCAATTGAATTATCATCTCTGTACCCGAACACACGATGCCGAACCTCTGCATTACTGACATGGTCTTGCCACTGGATGTCAGCAATCCTTCGGAGACAACGATGATCGAACACAGAGAGTCGTCTAACATCCTCAACTCGAAGGCCCTAAAGATGGTCCAGATTGGCAGAAGCCGCTCTGGCTTTCACTATATGTGAATCGATCTCGTCACTCACGCCCCCACCAGCACTTATGCAGCTACCTAGATACACGAACTTCTCGACTACTATCTGCTCACCATGCAGGGTGAGTACAGGATTACAATCCTGCCAGTCTTGTAGAAGTACTTTGCACTTCGAAGGTGCAAAGCACATACCATACCTACGGACATTGATTGCCAACTGATTAAATGCGGATTGCATGGCTTGAACATTATCGCACAGTAAGACAATATTATTCGCATACTCAAGGTCGAGAAGTCTTTCCCCAGGCGACAGATCCACACCACCATTACTTACATCCACCAGAGCTGCTTCCAGAATGTGATTGGCATCCCGTCATTCTCACAGATGGTTTCGCTCACACCAGACTTCTTGCTGCCAGTGGCTCGGATGAGTTGGAAGAGCTTCAGGTTGTTACCAGCCGCTGCTTCCAACTCATTAGCACGCTCCGACCACCAGGCTTCTCGGTCCTTACGCAAGCTTTGCCCAATTTACTTACGTAACATCCTTCGTTTGTGGTCAAACTCACGGTCAGCCGGAGTAGACCGATGGGCTTCAATGAGTTGTAAGGAACCAGAAGAAACCCAGTGCTTATAAGCGGGACGTTCCGCGAACCCACAACTGACTGTTCCCGCCATTTTCATGGTGTCATGCAATTGCAACCAATGCTCATCTATACTTTTCGGTGGAATGGTAGCTAGCCTAGCAGCTGACTGTTCCCGCCATTTTCATGGCGTCATGCAATTGCAACCAATGCTCATCTATACTTTTCGGTGGAATGGTAGCTAGCCTAGCAGCTAGCTCGGTTCGATACTTGCTAGCAACAGAAGTTGCAACCAGCTTGCTAATATCAATCCTTTGCTGGCGGTCACTTCGTTGGCCACTGAAAAGTAAGATAAGATTGGCGCAGACCAGGGCATGGTCCGAGTCTGGATAGGTACTACAAAAGGAGCGGCAGTCTTGTACACAACCACGCCAGCGGTAGCTGATCACGATGCGATCAATCTGAGTCCAGGCTTGAGATGCAGAGGGAGGACGCCAGGTGGCACATCGGCGATGACTGTGCCGAAAGTTAGTGCTAGCCAGAAACAGGTTGTGGTCTGTGCACAGTTGCAGTAGACGGTCCACGTTATTTGTCCTGCAACCAACGAGTCCCCATCGCCCACCTAAACGACTCTCTTCTGCACCTAGATGCCCGACCTGAGCATTCAAGTCTCCGGCTAGTACTACAATATCTGTCGGACGCACTTTCTGGAGAAGAACAGTTAACTGGTGGTAAAACTCATCCTTGATTGCATCCGAGCTGCAATCTGTCGGGGCATAGGCGGAGATGACGAAAAGACATAGTTCCTCACGCCAATTTCTTCTCACTTCGATCGAACTTTCTAATCTAACAGCACAAAACCGACTGTTAATTGGGATCCAATCGGTTAGTGTTGCCTCAGCTCTAGCGATTAGTGTGACACCAATGCCAGCAAGGTCAGACGAAGATGCCACAGGGTTTTCGGATAAACGCACGCAAAACAAGCTTTTCGAAGCGACAGATGAAGAGCGAATTTTTAGTACTTCACTATAGTCTTGAATACGGATCTTGGATAGACAACAAACGTCGATATTAAGACATAGCCAGCCCTATCTGTTGTCCGACCTGCATAAGCGTGCGAACGTTGAAGGCAGCCAATTTGAATGGTGCACGTATTTTAAGAAAAACTGCTTGAGTACTCATATTTGGTGGTAGCATACAATTTTCAACCGGACAGTGACTCGAGAACGTTTAGATAGAACTGAGTTTTCACCACAGGCGAGCTGCTGTATAAGTCGAAAAATAAGGATACATAAGGTGGGAATAAAAGAATGAGTAAATGACGTAGCAAATATTAATAATAATAATGTGAATTGTTTGACTGTGAATCGAAGTGAGAATAGAATTTTTAGTAAATATCATCACTTTCATTTTATTTGTGTGTGGGCTGTGATGCTGCCCGGGTGCCCAAACCGAAGCAGGTGGTTTTCTTAGAGGGCCACACCTCGATCCACAAGGCAGTGGAGCATCGTGAAGAGATGCATTCCCATGGCAGCCGGTGACCAACGATTGATTCATACGCTATTTGTTCCCGCAGGATACTAGAGCCCATGTGCACGATTGGTTTGGAATCCGGTTGAAGCGCCGGACATTCGCTTTTCGTCCTCTTATTTTCGTAAACAACACCCCCGCCACGAGAAGGCAATGAGTAGGACTTCCCTAGCAGAGGCTGTATACGCGTGGCCGTGTGAGAGTATTTCGAGAGGGAGAGCGGACTCTCCCCACTCTCGGCCGTACCAGGGCATTTGGGGGCATGATGGTAATATAATTTATTAGCATTAAATAAAACGTCACTCATTAGTCTTACCACATAAACTTCCTAAAACATCTGGTTCATAAATAAAACGAGGATTTTTTACATAGATATGTACCAGGTGAGTTTTAAAGTCACCAGCAATCAGCGTTCCATGTTTCAAATAAATGATTGCTTGTCATGAGTAAAAAATTATCAGTCAACATCAACCAACGAATTTTTAGTGAGGAAAAAGCAGCTATTTGCGGACATTTCCGTTTCAACAATGATAAGTTTAATTATGATATTTATATATGCTACTGAGAACTGTTCTGAGCCCTTATTTTGAAATTTAATTCCGGTTTGTGTAGTAGGGTGATGTAAACATTTTATTCGGAATAGCCATGAGCTTAAATGTGTGATGTTTACATCGAATTGCAAACTAATTAACTGAAGTCAATGACAATTGGAAACCATTTTAATAGGTACAGACTACCTGATTAAGGTCCATATGATTATCGCAAATAATGGTTAGAATTGAATGACATGGGTCAAAATCGCTTAAAATGGAGCAGGTGCATCCATTCTTCGTCTTTCCACAAATCCATAGATTCTAAATCCCTTATAAATTTTCCGTTTTTATCTCGCTAATTTATAGTTTTCGAGGCGTATCTTCGAAGTCTAATGCTAACAGACAATCACGGGTGGATCACGAGGTATGGAAAGGTAATGCAAATGAAAGTGAAAACGAATTAATCCGTTAGTGTACTATCTGGTCACTATTTCATGCAAAGGATGGCAGACCATGAGTATTTACATGGTTGTTGATTTTCCTATTAGAACTGACTAAGAAGTGGGGTGTGGACACGTATGTTGAAAGTGTTTCAGATAGGACAAACCCGTTGTTGCGTGTTTGTTCTTTGGTGTGTAACTTGTCGAGGATTACTTCATGCGTTGGAATGACGGGTTTTAGGAAGAACCCTTTTTCGGTTGCGTGTTACTCACTAGGTTATACATTCTAGTTAAGCCCCATTACGCAGTTGGTCACGGAGCTTGATGGGGATACTCCTAAACAGTCGCTTAGTTCGTCTCGTTCTAGTGAAGGCATAGAGGATTCTTGGGCGTATGAAGCATCTGGCTTGTGATTACATTTAATATTATCGTAGTGTGATCGATATTCACTGAGTGTTTTGACATGGACGTTCTCAACTAGAAGCTAGTCATTCGCAGTAGGTAATCAAGTCTTGATGGACTATCGTCCTCCTTTCATATTGCGTCGTCACCTATTGCAGTACCAACCAGGGTTATTGAAGATATTATGGGAAACGATAAAACTGGACCTCCGAAACCCACTTATCCAACAATCATTACCAGAAACGCATGCAGTAGTGAGTTCAATATTTTGGCGGAACCAAGGAACATAGTATAATAATCCCTCTCGAGACGAGCAACGAATTCCTCACCTACTTAGAAATGACAGGTCTTTATTGACTACTTTCCTACACAATCATGCCAAGCAGACAGTCAAATGAAGCACGCTACAATAACACCTAACTCCTCGAATAGCACTACTGAATATATACAAAGGCAACAGATGATCACATGATCATATAAGCAAAAACCACTCAGATCCTGGAACAGTATAATGAAGACTGAAGTCCTTGCGACTAAATACAACATTAGGAGCTCACAATATCAGTCCTGTACTACTGAAACAGTGAGGTGAGACAACTTGCACACCACTACGCAATATTTTTAGAAATAAGTCAATATCCCACCAATCTTTTTAAACGCATGCCATTTTATGATTAATCTTTAAACGTGGAGAAAATCCAACCTGTAATTGAAGGGTCGCACAACTTCCTGTAATCTACATAAATCTGAGAGGCCTGCCAAACTGCCAGGAAGGAAGTTGTGGAGAAAAACGAAAACCGTTAATAAGCACAATACAGATTAAGGAAATATAGGTATTCTCAATCTAATCTCCGAACACCCGTTATCTGGATAACCTTTAGGAACTAGAAAGCAACTGCTCACTAACTGTCTTTTCTGTCTAATAGTGTGTGGCTACGTGAGAACAGTTGTTAGTGAACATAAATGTGGAGTAAACATGTGTATAACATATCCACTAAATTCCAGGGCTTACAGAACGTGAGGAAGAACACTTTCAAAAATGGACACAAGGACACGTATTCAAACCTCAAACTACAGTTTCAGTTTCAGTTTGGGAAGGACAGGAGGCTCGATGGCCTATGTTAGTCCTGGCAATGGTGGTCTCTCAGTTGATCCAACTTTCTTTTGAAAGAGTCGACGGATGGAGCCTCAACCACGTGCTGAGGTAGTGAATTCCACTCGTTGATGATTCGATGGGAAAGTCGATAGTCAGCTGACAAGTAATTTGTTCTCGGCTTATGAACTTTTTTGGAGTGTCCTCGTAAATTCTCTGTTTTGGAAGACAAGAAAAATGAGGGCATGTTAGGTGCAAATTTATCACTAAGCAATTTGTAGACTGTAATCAAGTCGCCTCTAGTTCTGCGATATGACAACGGGAAAAGGTTCAGCTTGGCCAGTCGAGATTCATACGGAAGCTTCGCTATTCCGGGAACCAGCTTAGTCGCCGTTCTCTGAACCTTTTCCAGAAGCTCACTGTCTTTTTTAAGCAGGGGCTAGCCGCTTGTATGCAGTACTCAAGTTTAGGACGAACGAACACTGTATACAAAGTCAAAAACGTCTTAGCGTCGACATGACTAAAAGCCCTACGTATTGACCATAACGTTCTAAAACTTTTGGCGGCTATTGCACGGCAGTGTGCAGTAGTCTTTAAGTCTTGACTAACGATAACTCCTAAGTCATTATATGTCTGGACGACAGGTAGCTCAGTGTTATTCATCGTGTATGTATCTGTGCCTTGATGACCGATATGCATCACAACACACTTGGAAGTATTTATCGGCAACTGCCATGTTTGAGACCATTCAGATAACTTCTTCAGGTCATTTTGAAGTTCTAAGCTATCACTCTTACATCGTATCGTTCTCCATATCTTGACATCGTCAGCATATAGCAAGACCGATGATGATAGGAGACAAGGAAGGTCATTTACATACAAGAGGAATAGCACTGGCCCCAAAACTGTACCCTGGGGCACTCCACTAAGCACAGTTTCCCAGCTAGATAACTTTGAGTTCACCCTTACTCTTTGTTGACGCCCAACTAAGAAGTCTTTTATCCACATCAATAAATTGCCTCCAATCCCGACTTTTCTTAACTTATATAACAGCCGGTTGTGCGGAACTTTATCAAAAGCTTTACTGAAATCAATGAAGGCGACGTCTACAGGTAGCTTTTGGTCCTTAAGAGCGCACCAGCTTTCACGAGCCACTAATAAGTTAGTGAGACAAGAATAACCTATTCTGAAGCCATGCTGCTTCTCCGAGAGGATCCGGTTTTTATCGAGATACTTAAACAGCTCCTTCCGAATAATCTTTTCTAATATTTTAACAACCACACTAGTTAGGCTAACGGGGCGGTAGTTCTCAGGTTTGTGTTTCGTGCCTGTTTTGAAGACAGGACTTACTATGGCGTTTTTCCAATCTTTCGGTAAGCGACCCTGCGTAACGGATAGGTTAAAGCATGTACTTAAAGGGCTTGCAACGAAGTTAGATAATTCCTTCAGTAGCCTAGGATGTAATTCATCGGGCCCCGTGGATTTACCTATGTCAAGCTTATTTAGCAGACCAAAGACATCGAGTTCTTTAATGGTCACGCTATCCAGTGTATGTATGGGGGGATCTGTATACGCTGACGAGAAGGGCGCTTCTATGGTATACACGTTGCTAAAGTAGTTCGAGAACGCTTGAGCCTTACCAAAGTCGTCCTCCACTAATGATGAAGCAGTACTGTCTCCCCATAGAGCAGGAATATTTCCTTTTCTCCTTGTCCTTTGGTTTATATAGGAATACAAGCGTTTAGGACATTCTATGGATTCCTTAACAAGTTTTTCTTCGTACAATTTTCTAGACTTACGGAGGGTCGAGGCACAAGTGTTCCGAGCCTTTCGATACTGAGATTTTGACTCATCAGTCCCCAGTAACCTAAATCTATCCCACGTTTTCCTTTTCTTACGGAGAAGGATACGGACCTCCCTACTGAACCATGGTGGTGAGTTTTTCGGCCCCTTTGGTATAGTCCAAGGGATGTGAGGTGTGGTAACTTTTAAGTATGAATTTCGAAATGCGTCCCAGGCCGTTTCAATGGAGGACTCTGGGTCTATTGTCCAATCTATTAACGATGCTGAGTGCATGATGTCTGGTATGTTTGCTTTCCAGACGTTGGGTCTGGACTGGACTGACGCGTCCTCATGACTGGCAGTTATATGGAAGTCGAAAGTTAAAACTGCGTGGTCACTTTTACCTAAGGGTGGCATATGATGGAGGTTCGCAACATCATCCTCATAGTGAGTCAGTATAAGATCTAATAAGGATGATTCAGTGTCCGGATCGTACCTTGTCGCTTCTTTCACATGTTGCACTAGAGCACATGTGATAACCGCATCAACTAGTTCCTGCTCGAAAGAATTCTCCGACGATTTAGTTCGCAGATTTTCCCAGTCTACCATAGGTGCATTAAAGTCCCCTAGGATTAGACATCGACCACTTTGGGACCAAGTATTGAGACTGCTTAACAGGATCTCATTTGCCTCACAGCTTGGACTGCGATAGACCAAACCAATCAGCAGCTCTTGTCCCTTGCATTTTAAGCGAAGACTAACTAATTCACACGTCCCACTCTCATGGGATACACTATCGATAATGGTAAATGGGATAGCATTCCTAATGAATAGAGCTACTCCCCCTCCTTTGCGCTTTTGTGTTCTGTCGGCCCTTACTAACGTAAAGCCCTCGAAATCAAGTTCTATACTATCTATAGCCTGTGTCAGCCAGGTTTCTGTTACTGCGATTATATCTGGCTTTGTAGAGTCAATCTGTACACCTAGTTCCGATCGCTTATTAAGTAAGCTTCGTGCATTGGTGTAACAGATCCGAAGCCTGTTTAAGTGCCTTCGTGCTTCACCCAGAGTGGCTTCGGCATCATTCTCTGTCGAAGTCTTACAACCCGAAAATTTACAATTTTCAGGTCCTTTTCGCCAGCGTCTAACCTATGTTGTAGTTCTTTCTCGGCTTCCCGTCTTTTAACACGGTCTGCCAACGGTAGGTCCATTCGGAAAAAGACTCCTGAACCCTTTAATTTGTGTCCATTCTGTAAAATTAGGTCACGTTCGTACACCTTCAGCAAGGTGACCCCAGTCATATTTTGAGGCATGAGTTGATTAAGCAGCTGCCTAATCAGTACAATGTCATACTCAAAACGAGCTTTAGGTTCAGAGCTCTCGCTCTCCTTGATTCTATGAAAAATAGCTGATCTGTCGCTATGATCAGCTTTCGATTTTTCAACCACTTTTACGGGGGCAGGTTTCCATTTTATATCAATACTTTTCTTCCTTATAACCTTTACCCATTCGTCAACGGTGCTGGTATCGTTTTCAGATTCAGAATCAGATTTGTGTAGTACGGACAGAATCCCTATGGCCTATGTTATTCATTTTCTAGTATGCTTCTGTGAGTGTCCAGTCTCCTCTTGAAAGAGTCAATTGAAGGTGTGGACACCAATGCTTCAGGCAGCAGGTTCCAAGTATTGATGACTCGGTGTGAAAACCTGTATGCCGTGGGTATTTTGTTCGTTCTTGGCTTTTCTACTCGCCTGCTATGTCCTCTGAGATGTCCCGATCTAGTGTGAAGAAAAAGAGAGAATAAGTTAGGTCCGAAACTATTTCTCAGTATTCTGTTCATCAAAATTAGATCTCCCCTTAATCTGCGACAGGACAGAGTAAAAAGGTCCAGCTTTCAAGCCACTCTTTGTATGGTAAACCCCGGAGTTCTGGAATTGCACGGGTAGTTGCCCTCTGTACTTTCTCTAGGATATCCAAATCGCCTCTTAAACAGGGGCTTGCAGCTCGAACGCAGTTCTCAAGCTTAGTTCTCACTAAGGATGTGTATACTGTAGTGGACATGGTGGTACCTAACTTAGTGAATGTTCGTTTTAAAGCCCAGAGGGTTCGAAACCCCTTCGCTACGACCTCACGGCAATGGGCCGTCGTCTTAAGATCATTGCTCACTGTCACCCGTAGATCCTTATGAGACCGGACCACGGATAATCGAACTTCTCTTATGCTGTGCCTATTAACCTTTGAATCCCCCAAGTGCATGTAGACACACTTTCCCGCGTAGCAGTCTATTATTTGGCACCTTGTCAAAAGCTCTACTGAAATCTATGTAGACAACATCCACTGAGTTTCCGTTGTCTAGCGCGTTTATCCAGAACTCCCTTGATATAAGGAGGTTTGTTGTACAAGATAGACCCTTTCTAAAACTATGTTGTTCCATGTTTAGTAAGTTATTGGTTTCCACAAACGCCATTATGGTCCGTTTGACTATTCTTTCCACCATTTTAACCACAACACTGATGAGGCTTATAGGTTTGTAATTCGATGGAACTTGTCGTGGACCTGTTTTGTGTTATGGGATTGACGATTGCGTCCTTCCAGTCCATAGGTAGCACTTCTTGATCAAGTGACATGTTGGATATCGCAGTCAGTGGGGCCGCGATATATTGTGCAATATGTCTCAATATTTGGGGGTGTAGTTCATCTGGTCCTGTTGACTTTTCCATGTCTAAAGTGCTAAGAGCCTTAAGCATGGAAATACTGAACTTAGTTTTTTTAAAAGATATATTTGTGTTACGATGTGATTTTTCGTGTATTAAAAGCTTTCATTCAAGGTAGGAGAGATCGATTTCAGTGTGGTCGGTCAAAAATTAGGTTTCCTCGGTGCCCTGCCTTTCAACAAGCAGCGGTAAGGAAACGCCTATAAAACCAAGTCGTAAGGCTAAATCCGTTTACAATAGGAGGAGCTGTGATGGCTACTCCAGTGAAAACGAAGGATTGGATACAAATCAATAACAATAAACAACCTGATGTCGTTTATTTAAAGCCAGACTCCCGTACAGTATCTGAGAAATCAAAGGCTAAGCTTATTGATAGGTCAGTTATATTTTACCGACCCAGGATGAGTGAAAGCTCTGGGTTTAAAATTGCTTTGAGTATGACGTTAGTTTTATAAAGGATCTACTTAACCAGCTGATGCCTTGTGATATTACTGTGGCAACGTTACTGAAGGTTCATAGGTTAGATAGGCAAACGGACTTACAAGAATATCAAACCAGGCTGCCAAAAGTGGTACTTACATCCTCCAATGAAAGGGCCTTAATGCTACAGAATAAACACAAACTAAAGGGACCAGCACTTTTAGTCTGCAAAGTATGCCGCTGGCGGACTCTGTTAAAAGAAGAGAAGCTGATCGAGAGCAAATACTAAGGTTAGATGCTAGCGAGAAGGACTTGAAGCGACGCCGAAGCCACTTCAGGTGCAGTTTGAAGCCATTTAAATGTTCTGCGGATCTTTTACACAAACACCTGCAGCTTAGTCATCAAACAATCGGAGATAGATTTACATCCTCAGCAGATTTCACAACAGAATCTTCCATTGAAATGGCTGAGGGGATATGCAGAAATATGCACATAAGAATCACAGGACCACACATTCTTTTGGATGCATCAAAAAATTTTAAAAGACCCACCAACACGGGTCAGCATGGCGCTTTCATCCTTCTCTGTAAGAGAAAATATACATGGGAGTAGTTTAAGTTCTTGGGTGCTGATGAGACAAAACCTCTATACATGTCATGAGGATTACATGATATAAAACTTGTTAGAGGTCATAGGATACATTAAACACATGTATTCGTACAAAAGCCAAAGGACTAAGAGAATAGGTAGCATCCCAGTGGGGTGAATTTATCCGCAACGCAACCATGTAAAATTAATGTATCGTCCAGTGTAATAACAATCATCTGTGCGTTCAAGTAACCACAGATTTTGTCATTTCATAATGTATTTTTAATTAAATAACCAGATTATGTTGTTAATTTTGCTCTGTTTTGAACTTTAATTCGCCACGTCTGGCTGCGTTACACTGTATGTCCTTTGCACGCTGGGATGATATCTCAAGTCATAGTTTAATCACATAGTTTATTGTTTCCAGATAGACCGTCAGTGCATGATGTTACTGAAGAAAGGTTTGTTGTACTGTAGACTATGTTTTTATGAACAACTGACTGACGTATTCAGCCTGAAAGCAATATATGTATCCTTTATCTTCTGTTAGGTAAGTTCGACTGGCCTATATTTCGTGTTTTGGTTTTATCGGCTTAATTATGTCCATTTAACTGCTTTGAGCAACATGTCTTTGCAAGTGAAACAATGACTATGACACTTGCTTAGTTTAGTGTTCTTGGCTGTCGTATAATTCA